GCCGTTCAACAGACACTGCACTTTATCAACTATGTCGCACCCTAGAAGGGGCAATTGACAGCAAAGAAATAGCTATCTGTGCCTTCCTAGACATAGAGGGAGCCTTCGACAACACATCACATGATGCAGTTCGAGCTGCCCTGTCCAGAAGGAACATAGACACTACTACGAGCAAATGGATTGGCAACCTACTTGAATCCAGGCAAGCAACATGTACACTGGGTTCGGAAAGAGTAACAATCGCTACCAGCAAAGGCTGCCCGCAAGGAGGAGTACTGTCCCCTCTGCTATGGAGCCTGCTAGTAGATGACCTTCTCAGCAAGCTTGCTGGAAAAGGAATTCAATGTCAAGGATACGCCGATGACTTCGTGATAATCGCCAGAGGCAAATTTGAAGCGACACTCTGCGACATCGTCCAACTCGGACTAAGGACAACGCTAGACTGGTGCAGGGAGGTTGGACTCAACTTAAATCCTGCTAAGACAGTCATCGTTCCTTTCACAAGGAAGTACAAACTACAGAGAATGAGACAAATCTCACTGCTAGGAACTCCTATAGAAACTAGCCGAGAGGTTAAATATCTAGGAATCACTTTAGATAGTAAACTGACTTTCGCTTCCCATGTCCAAAAGACATTGGAAAAGTGTTACAGAGCACTCTATACCTGTCGGAAAATTGCTGGGAAATCCTGGGGAACCAGGCCTCAGATAATACGATGGCTATACTTAATGATCGTGAGACCAATCCTCACTTACGGAGCACTTGCATGGGGTAAACGAGCATGCAAAACCAGCTAGGAAAGCTGCGAAGACTTGCCTGCGTATGCATGACAGGGGAAATGAGGACCTGTCCTACAACTGCCTTAGAAATTCTGATGGAGCTAACACCACTCCACTGTGTAATTGAAATTCAACGCAAAGCTACACTCCTGAGAATAAGCACTGAGGGCACAGGTAGTGATTGCATTCTAAATAACAGGGATGCGACTAATCTGTTAGGTGAGGTGCCCTTAATACTCCACCCTAGGGATGAAATGACAGCCGAATTAATCTTCGAGCTGAACTTCACAGCACACCTAGGCAATAAGAAAAATTTGACCACATTGTCTGAAGTGCACCCTATGGCTAAACACACCATAGCATGGTACACAGATGGATCCCTACACAACAAGGCACCGGCCTTGGAGTGGTAGGGCCTCGCATAAAATACCACGAATCCCTCGGCCAATATACCAGCATATTCCAGGTTGAGGTATGTGCCATTGGACATTGTGCAGAGCTCAACATACAGCGTGGATACAAGGAAAAGGACGTATCGATCCTTTCGGACAGTCGAGCAGCAATTATTGCTTTACATAGTAACAAAATCACCTCGAAGCTAGTCCTAGAGATGAAGAGTAAACTAAATATATTGGGCAGCCGAAACAGGCTGGCCCTCAGATGGATTCCGGGACATAAGGATATATCCGGAAATGAACTTGCCGATAAAATGGCAGAACTAGGAGCCGAACAGCCCCTGATAGGACCAGAGCCCTACTGTGGCATAGGGAGGCACACTATAAGAGAATACTTTAGGAAAGAGGAAGGCGCCATGAGGCAAGAACACTGGAGAAATACCCCAGGTCTAAGGCAAGCCAAAACTCAAATAAATAACTATAACAAGAAGAGGTTCAAGGAACTTATTCAACTGGGGAAAAACTCACTTAGGATCGTTACCGGATTACTAACCGGGCACTGTAGACTGAAAAGTCACCTAGGTAAGATGGGAATAACCAGCAGTGGAACTTGCAGATTCTGCGACATAGAGGACGAAACCTCTAGACACATCATTGCAGACTGTTCGGCGTTAGCAAGCATAAGATGTAAAATCTTAGGAACCAGAACTCTTACACCTGAGCTCCTAGTAAGAATCAACCCACTAAAACTCCTCGACTTTATTCGAGGAAGTGGGTTGATATCTGAGCTGTAGGCTCAATAGATCTTATAGGTCGCGGTACACTGGACACCCCGATATTAATAATAATAATAACATACTGCTCAGCACAACTTAGCTATTAGCGTTTTCCTGTGAAATTGGCTAGTTGTTTAAAAAATCGTAGAACAATTTTGTTTTAACAAACTGCCCAGCACAAGAATATTATTGAAGAATTAATAAACAAGTCTTTAATATTTTTTGGAAACTGACAAACAGACTCAGAAAAATTTTAATTTTGAGATATACCAAAAAAAAGTATTTACCTTTAATTTGCATGACTTTTTAGATATGCATGATTCCATTGGCGCATTTAGCATGTAGCTAATGCTACTCCGACATGCGAATGGCATGAACAGTTGAGTTGTCGCAAATTAATGTGTTGAAAAGTTGTTACCAGTACAACTTTCAAAATCTAACATTTTTTTAACATAATTTGCCGTTCATTATCCGTAAATTATTCGTGAAAGAAAAAAATTTGCCGCTCAATTTTTTTAAAATATTTAGTTAGCAGTGCACTAAATTAAACTTTAACTTTTCGAAAAATTTCTTTTGCAGGAACTTGCCGTTAATTATACGTAAATTATTCGTGAAAGAATAAAAATGTATCAAATCTTAGTGTAATAACCTAACTAACAGTCGTATGACTGAGTTACGGGGTCCTAAAAATTATCGTTGCATTGTAGGCGGGTTCTGCTGGAAACCCGAGTCAAGCCTCTTGCGAGATCATTTGGGTGGACAGAGAGTTTTTCATTGTAGGTCGCCTTTTGTTTGTTTATTTCATCTTTTACTGCAAGAATGCCAGTGATTGTTCTTAGGATTTTTGATTGTGCGCGCTGTATGATGTCTATATTGCTGCTGCTCGCGTTCCCCCATTACTGGGAGCCATATGTCCAGATGAGCTTGAGAGTGGAGTTATACAGCAGGACCGTGTAGTCCAGACGCAGGGGCGTTCGAGCGTTTAAGATCCAGTGGAAGCTGCTGGCTTTTAGTTGTAGATGTAGTTTCTTGCATTCGATGTGTCTTTCCAGTAGTCGTCTGTCTAGGTGAACGCCGAGTTACGTTACTTCGTTGACTTGGGAAATCTGCGTACTATTCAATGATAGTGGAGGGCATGTTTTGCCTGTTCAGATTTAACTTATTGTTTGAATTTTTGTTCATTTATTTTAATACGCCTCTCTACTACGATGAGGTGATTGGCTAGTTGTGTTGTTGCTCGGTTTGAGCACCTAGAGCGACTTAGGATTGCAGTGTTGTCAGCGAAGAAAGATGTTGTTAGCTACTCGTTCGTAGGATTATCCGCTGTATATAGGACGAACAGCTTCGATAATGTTGTCGTCAGATGTTTTTGTTTTGCACTTTACTGCGAAGGCTCTGTTGTAGAGATGTAGGCAAATGTGTTTTGATTTTATACATGAGGTCATAGAGCCAGACTCGATCAAAAGCTTGAGATACATCGAGGAATATTGCGCTGCAGTATTTCTGATGCTCGAAAGCTGTGCCAATTTATTCTGTTAACTTGTTCGATTGTTCCATGGCTTTGACGGAAGCCAAGTTGATTGCCGGGATAGCACTGTGTGCTCCGAGATATGGTATTATGCGTGTAAGAAGGCATTTTTCCAACAATTTAGACAGACAAGATAATAAACTTATTGGTCTGTAGGATGACGAAATTGTGTAATTTTTTCCGGGCTTCGGTAAAATTATGATTTTTTGAATTTTCTCGGATACAGCGGAGATGTATTATTCCATTAAAGACTTTACAAATATCATCAATAGCGGAGTTTGTTCAATTATCATTTTTGGGGTTGCGCTTTTGCTTCGCAATAGTTAATTAAAAAACAGCTGTGCTTCGGACATGTGTTTATGCTTTTAATTCTAGTTTTGGAATGTACCGTTAGATTTCCAGCAAAACCCAGTTCAAAAATAAAAAGACTGGACATTTATAGGTCAAATTTTGTACATGGAATCAAAAAATTTGATGATCGTGTTGGTTAACTAGGTTGGACATTCTATGGAGGTTTGCGACGATATGTAAATCGACTTCATTTCCATTAATGTGAATGCGACAGCGATCTACATTAGATGATGAAGGCGTCCATAAATGCCGAGGACAAAGTTTCAATACAGTGTTAAAGCACGCCAGAGGAATGTAGAGCTTCCAAAATTCTCATGAACAACATATGACGGAAACAAAGACACTATGGATAGACGACAGCCGTTATTTTTCAGACAGTTTGCCGATGACAGAAATACGGCTAGAATGCCTGCAGCGAAAAATGCAAATAGATCCCGAGCTTGAGCTGAACCAAACAAAGTCTGTTCGACAAGAGGTATGCAAGAATGCTGTGGAATTTAGGGCTGTCACGTTTATTTCGATATATAAAGCACAGCATGATATTAAGATTACGGAAACACATTTGTGGTCTTATTCAAAAGCCGTTCTGGCCTGGTTATATATCTATCCGAGCAAGTACCAGCAGTTATAGAGCCTGATTAAAAACACCAAATCTCGGACCTTATAATCTCGTCGATCAATTTAAAGAGGCTCATTCAAACACATGCATCTTTCTCTTCCACCAGAAGTCCTCATATTATGCGAATCTGAGTTATCTGTTTTTGCAGATATAGAGAGAACCCAGATTTTGTATAATATTGAAATCGAAATATATAATAAATTAAAAAGAAAAAAAAAACATTAAAAAAACTTTGAGGCAAGTGTTAGGCACGCCCATTTTTCCAAAATAATATTAAGGGTATGTACTAAAAAAAACACCTAACAAAATATTTTGCCTAGTATGAGAGTTATTAATTTATGCCAAAAACCGGACAAATTTCTCATAGTGCATTGTCTCAGTGATTTACAAATTTCTTGTAAGTAATTCTTGTATTCGACTGAGAAATATACCCCGACCAGAAAGCATCGTTACCTAGTATCGGATAATACAACATGAAATTGAAATTATATTTTAACAAAAATAATATAAACGGTTTAAAACAATGAAAGAAATAATTTTTTATTTACTTACATCGGCTACGTGTTTCCAAGGTCATGTCCTCAACAGGCTCAAATTCAGTATCAGTGTCCAGGTCTTCCGAGCTCTAAAATTCAAAACAAATTTAAGTTAAAAAAAAGCTGAGTTTAGTTTTTTTCCGAAAAAGTATTTAAGGAAAAGGTTTAAAATTTTTGTTCAGGTTTAGGAACAAGTTTATTTGAAAAGAAAAAAAAAATGATCCGCTTTTATAATTTACGGAGTACTTCAATTCCAACTTCTTTTATATACATTTGTCTGTCCCAATAAATATTTTTAGTCAGAAGTTTTCAACGCACTCAGAAGTTTGATCAGCATCGCTAGGAGAGTCGACAAGCTATGTCCGTCTGTCTGTCCGTCCGTCTTGTGAATGCGACAGCGATCTACATGAGATGATGAAGGCGTCCATAACTGCCGAGGACAAAGTTTCAATACAGCGTTAAAGCACGCCAGAGGAATGTAGAGCTTCCAAAATTCTCATGAACAACATATGACAGAAACAAAGACACTATGGATAGACGACAGCCGTTATATTCCAGACAGTTTGCCGATGGCAGAAATACGGCTAGAATGCCTGCAGCGAAAAATGCAAATAGATTCCGAGCTTGAGCTGAACCATACAAAGTATACCTCTTGCAAGAATGCCGTGGAACTTAGGGCTGTCACGTTTATTTCGATATATAAAGTCACAGCATGATATTAAGATTACGGAAACACATTTGTGGACTCATTCAAAAGCTGTTCTGGCCTGGTTATAGGACTATCCGACTGTCCGTCCGCATATTGAGAGCATTGAACCAGAACAGAAAAACGTTCTGTTTTTGCTTTTCGGTGCTATTATAATTCAATCATTGTAGCATCTGATTATGACTTTTAGAGTATTATGTTCTAACATTAATAGATTATAAATTCGTTAATCTGTTTTTTAAATTATTTTAATAATCTTTGAGGGATTTCAGAATCATATAGCTACCATGGAAACAACAGAAAAATAAATGAAAGAAATTATTTCTTGGCTGTTTTTTTAATTGATTTGATAATACTTTGACATTTAGTAATGGTTTGTTATTTCACAATGACGGTTTAATTTGTATTTAAATAGAACAACGGTGTCAATCAGCCGCCATAGGAACGATCTCACTTTCTAGGGTCAAACATATTTGAATAAAAATCGAAATTTTGTTGTTTTAAGGGAGTATTCTGGTTTAGAAGGCCTGAATTTGTCCATTTTTTTTAAGTTAGATAGTACAACAAAAAACATTTTTAGTATACATTTTTTTATTGACATTTTCAGAATATAAAAAATCCAAAATTCGCCCTGATACAGGCCGGTGGAGTGGTGTTTTTAAAAAATCTGTGCGTCCTGGTCGACATGATTTCAACCCTTGTAGAGATTGGAAAAAAATCTAACAAATTCTTCATTAATAAAAATCGGGTTAAGTCCTTTAAAAAATAATACATACTAAACGTCCACTTGAAAACAAAAATATTTTTACCCAATTTATTAAACCTGCTCGAATATTTTAAATTTACTTGTAATCCAATTTTTTTTTTAAATCCGAGGCATGCGCGATAGAGAGTTGTAGGAAACATTTATAATCGCTCGGACGACACGTCACTAAATCAGTATCTCCTAAAAAAATTCGATTATTATCATATTTTTAACAGTGTAAGCATTAAAAATATGCAAAAAAAAAAAACAAAAAATCGTAACTTTTCGTTCAGTTTTCAGTTTTGTTTAAGGGGCTATACCATTGAAACCCACAAAAAAATAGTCAATTCTTATATGTATTTTTTTAAGTATACTTAACAGAATATTTTGTAATTATTTGCACATAATAGGGTAATCTTTAACTGTTACAAACATTTTGAGAAATAACGGGATTGTGGGCTGTCTGCCGAGGCTCAACAAAAAAAAGTACTGCCGACATGATTTCGTTCGAATGGGTGGCAGAAATCGAAAAATTAAAAAAGGGTGAGAATGCTACCTACGATCACTAATCCTCCTAATCCTCCAGACTTTCCAAACGCATTAGCCAGAGTTCAAGAAATGGTAATTGTTTTAGCACTCCTCAACGCCGTTTTTACGAAACGGATGAATAGAACCAACGATAATAATCAAAATTATCATGGGCAAAAATCCACCAAAACCCAAACAAACATGTCTATCAAAATAATAGTTATCAAGTTAATAATAGCTATAAACCTTCCTATGGCTATCGAAATGCTAACAGCTATTAAAACAATAATTACTATCAGGACAAGAACGCTCGGTTCAATTCTAACCCAACCAACATTGTTTGAACACAACCAAACAATACTTACCAAAACAGGAGTGAACCAATGGAAGTGCCAGCATCCAATTCCAAAATAGAATTAATAATCCTAGTAACCAAACATTTCACAAAGGTGGACAGTATCATAACAATAATAGCCACATTCAAACCGACACCTACAGCCAGGGAAAAAAAAAACATTTTAACAACCAGAACAGCCAGCTAAACGCGCACAAGTTAAGTCATCGGCTCAGAATATTAACAAAAAATGTTTATAAATAATTTCCAAGAGGACCATTTTTTAGAAGGACATTTTCCGGCAGGACAAAAAAACTAACAAAAAATTTATATTTTAATAGACACAGGGGCTACCGCCTGTTATATAAAAAAGGAATTTACCAAAACGGGATAGAATTACACATTTTTAAAAGTGTCCAAAGTCAATCAATAATCAAAATATACCATTTTATAACAATTTTTCAAACCAAATACATTTTTTATGAAATAGAACCAGATTTGTTAATAGGATAAACTTTACTAAAAAGATAGGAGCAGTCATTGACATATGTAATGATACACTAAAAAATATAATGCGAAAACTGAACAATTACGTTATGAAGAAAAATTATTATTATTAAATTAAACAAAGAAACAAACATTCTTCCTTTATATTAGATAGAAGAAAAATTATAATTATAATTATTATAATTATATTATATTATATTATAATTATTATAATTATATTATATTATATTATAATTATAATTATATTATAACTACGAAAGTTTTACAAATAAAAATACAGCTAGCATAAAGAGTTTACGGTATATAAGCCCCGAACACACCGTCAAATTGGGCAAAAACAGTTTGGGACACACAAGTTTGAACGCACCGTCGATGATACTTCAGACACAGATAAATCAAACAGTTTGGGACACTCAGATCCCGGCATACATAATTTAGAACCCACTGCAGAAGAAACAGTGATAACCAATTACACAGAAATAAATACGATTTTTTCATTTCACCGTTAACGATAAACCAATTTACTCAAGACACTACCCATATTCACAAGCAGTAAATGGATTTGTGAATCAAGGAATAGGTCGCGTGCTTGAAGACGAAAACATTAGACCTAGTAAAATCCCTTATAATTCACCGGTGATTGCAGTATCAAAGAAAGGTAATCTGCATTGACATATGAAAATTAATCCTCAACACAATTTCAGATAAATACCCCATGCAGGATCCAATATATATATATATATATGTTTATATACAGTTTGTTTCCTCCTCCAGTATTTTAAGAAGTACCCACCAAAACCGTTGACTTGATCATTTTTAAAAAAGATACAAAAGAAATGCAACACCGTCCAAAATAGATTACACTTGATATTCAAAATTTAATTGATTCTATCACTTCAGCAACATTCGACGTTTTCAATACAAAAATATTAAATGAAAAACACAAAAAAGAAATCTTTAAACATGAAAATAATCCAACTGTACTATCAGATCTACTATACATTTCGAAATTCAAAATATTAAAAAAAAACTAAGGTTCACCTATTATTGTAACAAAATAGCCGTTAATAACAAATTTTTTTTGTTTATATACATCAAGAAAAACTTCCCAATATAATGAAAAACTAATAGTAGATTTTACGACAGCGTATTTTAACGGAAGGTTTTATAAGATAACCAATTTCAGAAAACAAATATTCTATAACTAATGAATACTAACAAGAGTTATTGTTACATAAATCTGTTAAAAGGACAATACCAAATTGTTCATAAATTAGGAAAAAAGAATTAAAATATTGTATCAAACTGATTTTCTTGGTTATCTGCTCTCTGCGAATATCGTGCGACTAGCTCATAAGATGTATGTGTTCGTCGCACCAAATTTATATAAACGTGACCACCCTATTGATCAGTGAAAACGCACATAAAGGATCTTTTTTTGCCGACTTGACCCTCGGCCTAGGTTTTGTTTTGACAGTGTAGAAATATGCTCCGCCGTGGGTTGCATTACACGTTGAACGGCTCACTGGGTTATGACTGCTGCGGAGTGGTGCCTCCGTCGCCCGCTATGCTCGTGATGCATTCAGCTGCCTTTGGCTCGGCTTAGGGATGTGTCACCGTTCCCAGACTAGGGTGAACAGTCACTGCGCTTTCAAGACGTACGCCTTTCGCAGACGCAGCCTCCGTTCCCTTGCTCTGTCCCGGCCGGTCGCACCGGACGTCGGCTCAGTTTCTACCTGACGGTTCAAGCGTATGCCCGAAGCCGCCAACGCAGTCCCTGGGTCAAATGCCAGGTTCTAGACGAACGCTTACACCCTACCATATCTGCCGCAGACTTTACAATTCAACGTATCTGCTGCTCGTACGGCGCTTGTTGTTCGTTGTCTTCGCTGTCCTCGTTGTCCTTGCTCTTCTGCCTCCGGATATGTCGACAGGCTCCGCTACTTGTTGGCGTCTGACTCTCCCTGTCCTTGTCTGGTGTTCAGAGCGCCAATCTCTCTCGCCGTACCACGGGCGAATTCGCCGCGTAACTGGTAACTGGTACGCCACTGCTTGCCGGCGTTAACTCTCCTTGTTTTCTAACTTGTGGGGAGTTATTCAACTCCTCCCAAAATCGGAAATACAAAAATAATCCCTCGAGCTTATATTGTTATCAATAATTTTATTTTGATAATTTACAGCCGCTGAGTATAAATAACACGCTACTTGAGTACTTTGAAACAGCTATAAACTTGTGAAACCTAAGTTTATTCAACAGAACTCCTACCTGGAATGATCATATTACAAAGTTTGTAGGGAAAACATATGGCATAATAAGGACATTATCCGTAACTAAAAATTGCCTGCCCACCCATATACGTTTACTAATAGCTAAAACCTGCATTGTTCCAGCGCTATTTTATGGAGTAGAAGTTTTTTCAAACTGTGACACTACCAGTAAGAACAAAATTAAAGTTCTATTTAATTGCATAGCCAAGTATATATTCAACCAACCACAGAGGTCACGTATCCGAATTTTCGCTGAAAATATTCAATATCTCGCTAAATGAATGGATAAAGATGCGAATCTACATTTTTCTGCAAAAAAATATTTTCCAAAATTTCATGCAGATAGCTTTAAAACCGAGAGACTAGTTTGCGTAGAAACGGACGGACATGGCTAGATCGACTCGCCTAGTGATGCTGATCAAGAATATATACAATTTATAGGGTCGGAGATGTCTCCTTCACTGCGTTGCAAACTTCTGACTGAAATTATAATACCCTCTGCAAGGGTATAAAAATAGAGATTTTCAGCTGTGTATAAGCTGATCGGAAAACGGTAGTCTTTATGTTGATGACATGCTTGTGGCATGTTCGAACTATAGGAAAATAGGAAGCAGTAAAGTTTTTTTTATAACTAGAAGTAAACAGAGTCGGACTACAAGGGGATATATCAATTCATCCAGAACGGTATATACAAAATTTCTAAGCAGAATGGAATATGGAAAAATGCAAGCCAGCACCCACACCGTTTGCGGTGGAACCGATTTTGGAGAAATGCACAGGCAGAAAATTGCATACAGCAAGTAGACAATACCAAATATATGTCGATATCTCGCGCACTCCTACTTTTGCATTTATAAGCGTTTCTTTTACTTTTGTGTTTATAATTTTTGTGTTTTTATTTGATACCAGTGTCAAATTGACTGTAAAGTTTGGGAAAGTTTCATGCAGATAGCTTTAAAACTGAGAGACTAGTTTGCGTAGAAACGGACGGATAGACGGACTTGGCTAGATCGACTCTGCTAGTGATGCTGATCAATAATATATATATACTTTAGGGTCGGAAACGTCTACTTCACTGCGTTGCAAGCTTCTGACTGACATTATAATACCCTCTGCAAGGGTATAAAAATTCTTATTTTAATTAAAGTGTTATATTATTATTAATATAAGCTAGGCTATTATAGACATAATTATTTTGTGATGAGAGGGCAGCACTGTGATCTTCAGTTTTTTAAATCCAACAACTCCTGGTTATGGTGTTGACGTACTTTAACAAAAAATAATACCCTTTTCAAGGGCATAAAAAAATATTTAATTATTATGTCTGTGCCAAGAAAGGCTGCCAGCTTCCATCTACATCAAAACATAAATTCTTCTGCTGGTTCTGCGATACAATCATGCATGCAAAATGCGCAGGATTTCTTAGCAGAGTTAGGATTACATTGACCTGCGGTCGGGGCTCAAGTGGGCTTGTAAGTCCTGCAGGGAAATGGAACTTGAGATGATTGGCTTTATGAGGCAAACTCGTTACGGTTTTAAGAATCTTTTGGGAGTAATAAAACAACTTATTGAAGGATAAAGTGAACAGTTTAGTAGCAAAAAACTGCTAAGTGAGTCACCTAGGCGTAAGAAAACCCGAGCCCATTATAACTGGCGCTTCTTTACATTCAGTTTCAGAAAAGGAATCTGCCCCAATTCCAATTTTAAATACTTGTAATGAGTCTTTACCGGCACCTAGCTCATCATCCCCTGTAACTGGTGAAGTTGAGGGGCAGTCCGGTGGATAAAAAGCCTCACAACCAGCTGTTCCTAATGGTACTGCGTGCTCTGAAGTACTCTCTTCATCAGAAAGTCGGGGTAAAAATGTTTAAAGTGTTCAAGATTTTAGTGGTGTTAAGAAGAACCTTTCAGTTGTTCCTTATAGGAAACAATTATTTGTTTATCGATTTACCCCCGAAACCCTATCTGATGATGTTATGGAGTTTATTCAAGAAAAATACCCATCTCCAAACACTACAGTTGAACAATTTAAATTTTCATACGCTCGCAAGAAATCCACTTTTAACGCTCTAAATAATAAAAAATGTTGGCCTGATGATGAACTAATAATAAAAGAATTTGTTCCCAAAAAAAAAAAAAAAATTAATAAAAAATAATCGGACTTCGATTTTAGAGTATGTTCCAAAAAACTGAACACTTCATATTTCTAGCCTATCAAAATGTAATAGGAATTAATATGAAGATACCTAGGCTGTTCGCTGACTGCTCTGGCTTTAATAAACAAATTTTAGTCTTCACAGAAACTTGGCTGAAACCGGAGATTTCCAACTCGCGTTTCTCGTAGGGAAGGTGGGTTGCTTATTGCTGTTAACTCGAATATTACATCGGAGATAATTCAGGCTGATTACCCCAATGAAATATAATTTGTAAGTGTAAAAGTTTCCTTACATGCCTTATCTACTTTTGTAACCTGTTCCTATATCCCCCTGGATCTGACATATTAATTTCTGAACATCATTTGTCTGCTATTAATCTCTATCTCTAATTTCTTACAGGGATCATTTGATTGTTTTGGGAGATTATAATCTCCCGGATATATCTACATATCCTACTGACTCACTTGTTTGTTTGACTTTGTTGATGTACTTTTAGACCTATTATTACAACAAATTAGCTTTATCCGTCACTCCTTAAATATGCATTTACATCTTGTATTTGTTTTGGCTCCGTCTAAGGTCGTTGTATCTATAATGTCTAGTTGTCCCAGAGGACCGACACCAACCCTCAATGGAATTGACAATTTCTCTGCCCTATCTTGATATATACCACTTTTGTAAATGCATAGATATGAAAACTGCCACTGAATCTGTGGCGTTTTCCTGACAGTCAGACTCCAAGACATAACAGACCTCCCTCGTGGTTTTCACGAGAGCTTTAAAGGCTTGAAACCTTAAAAACAAATACTTGAAAAAAGTTCCAAACGGACGAGCAAGCCATCTGATTTTTCGAAATATGTGGTTGCTCGATCGGATTTGAATATTCTTTACAGACAATGCTATGTATTTGAACCGGTTTTAAACCGGAGACCACTACACCACCACCACCACCACTACACCAGGGCCGGTCGGGCTTCCTGTGTGCTTGCTTAAGTTTTGTGCCTCAACTATTTGTAAAGCGATTCTTAATCTGTTTCAATTGTCTACCTCAACATCAGTTTATCCAACTATCTGGAAAGATTCTTTTATTATTTCACTCCATAAAAAGAGAGGAAAGTCTGAATATATTTAAAAACGCAGTTTCCATTATAATTAACGTAAAATCTGGAGTGCCGCATGGTAGTCGTTTGGGCCCATTGCTATTTACTTTATTCATCAATGATCTTCCTTTTGTCATAACACACTCTCGAGTATTAATGTATGCTGATGATGTTAAACTTTGTTTGTCCTATAATAATTTGTAATCATATTTCGGTTTACAGTCTGATATTGATTGTTTTTAGAGATGGTGCCAATCTAACCTCTTAAATCTGAATTTCCTTAAATGTTTGGAACTATTTTTATGCAAAATCTTGTCAAAGGTGATTTTGACGTTATAGAATTGGTAAGCCGCTTAACTTTTAATGTGCCCTTTAGACCAAACCCCAACTACCATCCTCCTAACTTGCCAAAATGTAATTATTATAACAATATATTTAATCAAACTTGCATTTCAACCTATATCCCTGCCTTAAAAACTACTTAGTTTTAGTTTTTTTTATAAATGTTATGTTATTTGCGTTTAAAAACGTGATCCTAAAATTTTTAACCATTGCTGTTTGAAATATAAAAAATTTAAATGTTTGTTTCACTTCTTTTTTTATATTTTGATTATTTCCATGGTAGCTACGATATATGATAAATTCGACCGATCTTTACGAAATTGAAATCCAATCCGGCTCGTCCCTGCAACAGAAAGACAACTTTTGGGAAAGTTTCATGCAGATAACTTTAAAACTGACATATGGTATTAAAAGAGATTACGTCATTTTAGACCTTACGTAAGCTAAGTCAAAAAGTTCAAAAAGGAGAACAAGTATTTTCTTGAACGCAGTTAAACATCGAATTTCCAGTGCTGATCGAAATTGTAGAAATAATTAGTTAGACACTTGGAATAGGAACTTCCAGAGACTTTTATTCAATCTTAACAAATATTCTACTTACTCGATTCATTAAAACGGCTCTTCGAATTTCCCGCACTCCGTCGTACACCAAACGAGAAGCATCAATGAAGTCATTTTCGTCGACATCTTTGTTAGAATTATTCAGTAGGGCTCCAACAGCTGCTCCAACGCGTTGATCAAATTTCATCATTACTTAAAACAAATGAATCAGTAAGAAATCACATATTTTAGGTTAGCAACTTAATTTTAAACAAGTTGAAAAAATTTAATAATTTAAAATTAAAATTTAGATAACTTATTTTCAAAGTAATTATCTATAATATCGTAATATCTCGATGTAGCTATTTTGAGGTTCCTACGAAACTGTCTGTCTGATCGCGACGGGTCCACCGAGACTCTGGGTGTTTTGCGAACCTCCCTATCAGGCCGCCAAGGTGTTTCGCCTAGCAGGTTTATTTAGGTTCTGCCTTATCGCCCAGCCATCTAAAGCTCGACCTAAACACGACCTAGCACCGTTGGATCTAAGCGCTGTAGCCTTAGACTTGTAGAATTGGAGTCGTTTGGCATTCCGATTTTGTGATATTCATCCTGATCCTCTGATTCTCTCACTGTTACTCCGGTTGAGCTACGCTTGCTCCGGAAGTACAAAAAATACATCGTTGATAAACCCTGTTGGCGTTCAAAAACATCCTCAAACTGCCGCCTTTGCTGCTCCTTTAAACGGTGTCTACCTACTTAGGGAAGAATAGCTTTGCAATTTGCCTGATGACTATGATCATACAATGACTAATGATCCAATCACCACGCCCGAGCTTGGCCATAGTTTGTCTGAGCCTGTCCAAGTTAACTTGCGTCCGATATCGCCAAGCAATGTCTTTTTCGACTTCGGGGGTTCTCTGATTTTCGGAAACTAATTGCTCTACGTTCATCTGCGACCACTGGCTTTCGCCTCAAGCCAACTGGTCGAACTTTCTGTAGAAAAACTGTGCTCGACGGAAGTTAATAAAGTGTGGTCCAGAAGCTGTTTAAGAATATTAAAATCCCTGCCAGCTCCTTTCAATTTAAGAACGAGCGTGTCTTTTGAGTCGTCATCAAAGGTCTCCATGCAAAAACTAAGATAGGCGAAATAAAGATAGGCGAGGCTTAAAGCCGTGGAGCACAATCCTCGTAATGTATAAAACCCCCTGGTAAAAATGGTGAGGCAAACCAGGATACGTTATTTGTTGAATAAAAACCAGCTAAAAACAACAACAGGTTTATGATAGTCGCAAAATAGATTACCATGTGGTGCACAATGACCAAGGCCAAGGAGAGAAAATGAAAAAAATCGGCGATCAACGAAGCTGTGACCCGAGAGTGCATTATTCACATGGCGAAGCGTGTCCACAATATCGGTTTCAAGGAGATCTGGAGGATTGGAATGCCCTCTAGTTTCTGGAGAAGCAGGCGTTTGTGCCCTCTGGGAAACCCTCTGATGGCGATTGTTTCTTACTCAAGTATGCAGAAATATACCTATTTCTCTACCATCTTTGTCTACTTCGACGCTAGAAACTGCTGCTTTGGTGAGAAAAGGAATGATCACTTTAACGTTACGATGGCACTTCCGAGATTGCTTAACTTCACCTGACTTTGCAACAAGCCAAGAAGTCTAAGCAACGATCTCTAGACTAGGACTCTCTTTTGGCCTTTCTATTGATGTGCGTCCAGTAGACGAGGACGAGGTTCGTGATCATATTAGGCAAATTGTTTCCACTAAATTTCCTGGCATAGACGCGATTGACGGAAAGGTAGCAAAGGCTCTTCCTAGCAGTCATTACGCAGCTCTGTTATCTCTTTAATGCCTGCCTTAACCTTGGAACGTGTTCTAGTCACATTCGGACCATAAAAAAGAAAATAAAAACTGTGCTTTAAATGGTAAAAGAAAATTACAAATAGCCTAATTGTACCCATGAAGGTAAATTGAAGTTTTTTTTTAAATGAGAAACACAACTTGTCTAACATTAGACAAATGGTGTATATGAATTATTATGTCACATCTAGAAGCTATATAAGAACCGTTTTAGGAAAATTTGTGAAAAAACACAAACAAAAAAACAAAATGATTGACAACAACATTGTTTTACCGCCATAAATTGAGAAAGCAGTTAGTGTTATAACACTGTATATATTTACAACAATCAGACCTTATAAAGGGAATAGCAAAAGTTCTATCCCAAGCCCCAAGTAATTTTACAATAGGGTTAGCTCTTGGTAAAGATCGAAGAGCAGGCCAAGTATAGAAACCATTTTATGGAGCTACGAAACTTAACTTAATTTCTTTGGAAACAAGAAAGAAAGCAAACTTCGGCAAGCCGAAGTTCATATACCCTTGCAGCTATTGCATGAATTAAATACTTTTGAAAACATTTAAATTATGATTTACTTCAGTATATACTGAAAAACAGTGAAGCTATGATGATTTGCAGCTCAATTATTAGATAGTTATTTTATATATTTTTATTAGTTCTATGGGAGCTATATGATATAGACGTCCGATTTTGATAAAATTTAAACCATAATTCTGAAATAATTAAACATTGCCATATGTCGAAGAACTAAACAAAAAATTAAAAAACAGAAAAGTTATAATTTTTTTTCATTTATTTCTCCGATTGTTCCTATGGGAGCTATATGATATAGTCGTCCGACTTTGATGAAATTTAAACCGTAAATCGAAAATATTTAACCATTACTAAATGTCGAAGAACTAAACAAAACATTAAAAAACAGAAAAGTTATAATTTTTTTTCATTTATTTTTCCGATTGTTCCTATGGGAGCTATATGCTATAGTCGTCCGATTTTGATGAAATTTAAACCGTAAATCGGAAATATTTAACCATTACTAAATGTCGAAGAACTAAACAAAAAATTAAAAAACAGCAAAGTTATAATTTTTTTCCTTTATTTTTCCGATTGTTCCTATGGGAGCTATATGCTATAGTCGTCCGATCCGGCTCGTTCCGACTTATATACTACCTGCAATAGAAAGACAACTTTTGGGAAAGTTTCATGCAGATAGCTTTAAAACTGAGAGACTAGTTTGCATATAAACGGACGGACAGACGGACAGACGGACAGACGGACAGACGGACGGACAGACGGACATGGCTAGATCGACTCGCCTAGTGATGCTGATCAAGAATATATATACTTTATAGGGTGGGAGATGTCTCCTTCACTGCGTTGCAAACTTCTGACTGAAATTATAATACCCTCTGCAAGGGTATAAAAATATTACGAAACATTTTCAAGTTCAATGAGTTTTATAAAAAAAAAAAAACCTGCAAATGGCAGCATAAAGATATGGGTCAGCTGCTCCTGGTGTGCCGTAGCTTTGATTTTTGAGACAATTAAACAAAGTATACCAAAAACGTTTACATGCAACCACCTCTGAACTAATAGTTCGATTAGAAACATTATTGTACGAGTTAATAGATATTGAGAAAATAAACATATGCTAATTGGCATATGCTTATTGGCATCTTTCATGTCTTAGGGTGACATGACCGATTCTCGCGGTTTGTGGACGTGCTCACATTTTTAAATAAAACGGCATTGGGTAGTCATAACTAGAATCTGCATTTAAAATTCTAAATCTCTAGCTTTTACAGCTTAAGAAATTTCGACGTTCTTACGGACAGACTGACGGACGGGCAGATGCAATTATATCCTAATCAAGAATATTTAAGGGTGTCAAAAAAGTCCTGTGGTAATTTTATGAACTTTCAATTCAATATGCGCATTTTGTTTGTTAACTAGTTCCAAACGAGATGCCAACTTCATAATGCCCCCTTATAGAAGCTCGCTTTGCTATTGGCAAAAAAACTCGAAAAGCCAATATTCTTCTGTGACCAATTTCAGACTCTTCGCATTGCACACTGGGCTCGAGTTTTGGCCAAAATTCGTTTTTTTTTTGTTGAGAAAAATAAAAAAAAAGTTCCAGGCCTTTTTTAATATAAATTAAGCTAATTTATACCAAAATATCAAAGTATTCCATTTTTGGTTTTTTTGCCATATTTTTAAAAATACAGTTTTGCAAAATCGAAAGTACAATGAAACCTAGTGAAAAGAAATAATCGGAATTCTTTTGAATTATAATTGATTAAAATGTCAAGTCAAATATATAATTTAGCTGAATTTTTACATATATAAAAATTACCGACAAAAACTTTAAAATATCATGCATTTTTCGCAATGGGAACTTGATTAATAGTTACTTTCGGGTACACTCCAAAAATGAAGTGATTTCTTTAAAAATAAATTCTTTGCTTTAGTTTTCCAAAACCGTGGTTTTAAGTATGAACTAAATTTGAAGGAGAGGGTTTTGAATGTACAGCTAACAGAAGCCCAAAAATATGCTACATTCCTATATCTCCACATATACAAAACATGTAATGTTGCATACACTGAAGGGCCGTTTGATGCCATCTAAATATTTAAAATATAAGTAACATAAATATTTATATAATAAGAAACAAACAAAAAATATACATTTTTGTTAGGTAGAATATTTTACTAATATTGGCAGCTCGGGCACCAAAATATGGCATTTTTAAATGGTAATAAATTTTAAACCTTTTAATGTTTCTTAATTTTTTTTTTAATTTTACTTTAATGTATATTAAAACAAGAAAGAAAGCAAACTTCGGCAAGCCGAAGTTCATATACCCTTGCAGCTATTGCAAGAATTAAACATTTTTGAAAACATTAAAATTATAATTAAAATTATAATTTAAAAACATTGAAGCTGTGATGATTTGCAGCTCAATTATTTGATAGTTATTTTATATATTTTTATTGTTCCTATGGGAGCTATATGATATAGTCGTCCGACTTTGATGAAACTTAAACCGTAAATCGAAAATATTTAACCATTACTAAATGTCGAAGAACTAAACAAAAAATTAAAAAACAGAAAAGTTATAATTTTTTTTCATTTATTTTTCCGATTGTTCCTATGGGAGCTATATGCTATTGTCGTCCGATTTTGATGAAATTTTTACCATAATTCTGAAATATTTAACCATTGCTTTATGTCGAAGAACAAAACAAAAAATTAAAAAACAGCAAAGTTATAATTTTTTTTCAATTATTTTTCCCGATTGTTCCTATGGGAGCTATATGCTATAGTCGTCCGATTTTGATGAAATTTAAACCATAATTCTGAAATATTTAACCATTGCCATATGTCGAAGAACTAAAAAAAAAATTTAAAAACAGCAAAGTTATAATTTTTTTTCATTTATTTTTCCGATTGTTCCTATGGGAGCTATATGCTATAGTCGTCCGATCCGGCTCGTTCCGACTTATATACTACCTGCAATAGAAAGACAACTTTTGGGAAAGTTTCATGCAGATAGCTTTAAAACTGAGAGACTAGTTTGCATATAAACGGACGGACAGACGGACGGACAGACGGACATGGCTAGATCGACTCTACTAGTGATGCTGATCAAGAATATATATACTTTATAGGGTCGGAGATGTCTCCTTCACTGCGTTGCAAACTTCTGACTGAAATTATAATACCCTCTGCAAGGGTATAATGAATTGAACCCGTTTCCTTTTTTTTCTAGAAATAAAATATGCAAAAAATATAAATATTTTCCGACTTTAGATTAGACTAACTATATCTTTTCGAAACGGGTCGCTTATTCTTGCGACACTTAGCGAAAATACAGCAAGACTTTTATGACACCCTTATATATATGTAGGAGATAGGGGGTCTGGTTCGTCTGCCATTATGGAATTATATTTTCTTCAGCGCAGCGAGTCGCAATTATTTCTCTGCACGAGCGTCTGTTCCGTTTCGCAGGCTTTCTTGAACTGCCTTTCTCTCGCTCATTATTCTCTACCTCTCATTGCGCCACGCTCAGTTGGGATTTAACTCTCCTTCCCCACCGCGCTCTCATTCAAAAGCTTCTCTATTCCTTATTTTTTTTAACTTCGTTTATTCAATACACTCCGAGACTTACAAATAATATTTCTTCATTGCATTTCTAATTAATCTCCGACATATACTTTATTGTGTTGGAAACGCTTCCAAGAACAAAAGAGAACGAAGCACCATAGATAAGCGTTACTCAACCAACTTTAAAATAAATGTGCCTCAGGATCAAGGTCTCTCTTCATCATTGATCTTAACGGCACTATCTAATGAGCATGTTAGCCTTTGGTATGTTATAAAACGGTCTGTGAATTTTTGAACTAATTGCAAATTGAACCGAAATCTCTATGTTATTTTTTGTTACGGTCTGTGATTTTTTATACTAATTGCACTTTGAAATTGTCATGTCTGAGAAATAGTTGCTGTAATGGATGAGTCGAATAATGTAGTAATAAGCCCACTAGATGTATCTTAACTTATCTGAGTGGCAGGTCTCAAAGGGTCCTCTTTAAAAATTAAACTCTTAATCTTCTCCGTGTTACCTCCGGCGGCTGCTACTTTCAACTATTTTTATTAATCCCCTTCCCTTAGTTATAAGTCCTTCTTGCGTACTTATGTACGCTGATGTTGTTAAATTATGTATGCATTATAAGGATACTTAATGCCACAAAAGTTTACAATCCGATCTTAATCTCTTTCAAATCTTTTAAACGAATGTATGAAACTATAATAAAAACAGAACAAAACAATAAAAAAAAATGTTTGCTGTCATTTTTGAATTTTGGGAACGTATAACGTTTCGCTTAACACGAGGATTTTTACCCCCGTGTTAAGTGAGAGCAAAGTGTATATTACTTTTTTTCGTGTCAATCCAAAAAACCGTGACTTATACTGACTGCTCTTTGAATATAATTGCTCTTGTAAACCATCTTGGCGTCCTTCTCGACCCAAAACTACAGTTTTCCGATCATATTTCGTTCAGTATTAATATAGAATGGGGTGTACTTGGTTTTATTAAAAGGTGGACAGATTGATAGCCCCGATTTGCTGTGTCGTCTTAACTTCACTTTGCCAAGTAGAATTTACTAAAAATTATATTTCCCTTATATATAATCAGTGTAGATCTATTTATGACTTGTATGAGCCCTTAAAAGAGACTTTTTCCTATAAAATCTAATTCTGACTCTCTGAATTTACATCCTACTTTTTCTTCGAACTTGTATCCCTATTTTCTTATCAAGCGTCAATCCTTTCGCGAATCGTGTCCTACGACACACAGATGCGCCCCTCGGTCGGTTGGCCGGGGTGTGGATCGTAAGACTCCGCGCCTGTTGACCTGTTTGTTCCCACTGTGTCATCCTATGCAAATTCTTGGAAACCCCCCGGGCTTACACGCCTACCTAAAAATCATCAAGAATAGGCGATTTAAAAAACACACACTTGCGCTTCTTAGTTGCCAAGTCGAATTTTGTTCAGCATAATTCTGAATTTTATCAGATTAATTTAATTGTAACAATTAATTTAAAGAAAATCATAAACAATTCTACTCGTTTGTAAATGCTAAACGTAAGTCCTCATCTTTTCCACCATCTCTCCATTATATTAATTCTGTTGCTAGTAATGACGCCAATTTTTTTAAACTACCTTTTCTTCAAACCCCAATACCAATTTAACCCCTAACCTTTACTCTCTGCCGCACTCGGAAAATATTTTTATTAAAATCATTAATGAAGATATAGTATTTGATAACCTAAAGTTAATAATATATTCATATTCAGCTGGTCCTAATCAAATTCCTAGTTGCGTTCTAAAAAACTGCGCAAAAGCTTTGTCAAAACCACTGGCCAATATATTTAACCTATCATTGAAAAAAAATAACTGACCTTCAATGTGGAAGAAATTCTTATTTTGCCAGTGCATAAAAAAGATAGTAGGCAGGACATTCTAAATTACCGTGGAATAGCCAAGCTCTGTGCCATATTGATGCCGAAGTTGTGCGAGCTGATATTAACTTACAACATCAATGCTACTCATTAATGTCCCCATCTCAGCATGGTTTTATAAAGCGTCGGTCCACAACAACAAACCTTCTTGAATTCACGTCTTTTACAAGAAATTGATTCAAACAAAAGTACGATGTTAAGGTCGTCTCAACGAAGTGAAGCTTTTGACTCAGTTAAAAAATCTATATCGATTCGGTTTCCATATACGCCTAGTCTTTCCAAAAATCTCCTTATCAGCTCCAGGTCCACTTCTCTTCGTCTTATTAATAAAGGATACAAAATAATAAAAATAAAAAACGACCTGCATTTCTTGGGTCTACTACTCTGATGTATGCTTATGATGTCAAAATCTGTATTCACATTTAAAAGTATGGATTCGCAAAATCGTTTGCAAAATGACCTACATATACTACAATCCTGGTGCGCTAGTAATAATCTTAGCTTAAACCAGAGCGGTAAAAGGACATAATATTGCACTTGATGTTATGTCCTTTAACCGCTCTGGACCAATGGCATCTACTTATTTTCTGGGCTGAAATCAGCTTATACGTATTTCACAAACATCAAACTTAATATTGACAGAATTTTGTTAATGCTTGACCTAGTGATATAAAAAACAAACAAGATACAATGTTATAGCGTTCCTCAAAATAAATAAAAAATAATAAAAGAAATCTAATTATTTATAATAGTTGATAAAGAAAAATTGTTATCAGACTTTTATAATAAAAATTTTAAACAACTGTTAAAAATGATTTTTTTTACATAAAACTTACAATTGTTACGGTCCCATTAGTTTTCAATGTAACCAAATAAACATTTCATTAAAATTTTGAAAAAAGTATTGCTCATGAAAAATGTAATTAAATAAAAATTTTTAAGTGCAATTGATTTATTAAACCATAATCGCTTTTAGCAGCTGCATATCTTGGATGCCATATTTAATATAATATCTGGCTAAGAATTGGTAACTTTCTGAAGACTTACTTCACCCAGAGAAAAATTAAAATTAAACATTCAAATATTTGAGTGTAACTTATTATTTTAACATAAGCGGTTTTAGCATTAAAAATTTTTTTATAATCACTACTTTTTTCCAGAGCTAATGAAATATTTTTTGATCAAAAAAATCTGTTTAGTAGATTTTGAGTTCTGATTTTCACGAACTTAAAGTCGTTTTCGGAAATTCGATTTAAAGTTTTTCATACGTGAAAACGGCCGGGCGTTTAATCTGTTAGTTTTACTCGGATTAGCTTTAAATTTGTGAAGAAAAAACTTTTCAACACATTGTTGACTCAGAAAAAAAAAACAATTAAAAAAAAATTAAAAGATAAATTAAAGAAAAGAACTACCACGAACTAATTGTAAAACGATGAAAGCTTTTATCTCTCGTGGTATAATGATGTAAAAATTGTATTATATTGCAAAAATGTACATACCTTGCTCTCGAAGAACTTTAACTGCTTCTAGCACTCGTTTGGTATAAATACATGGCTCATAATTGTCCATTTCAGCTTCAACCACATTACAAACTCGCGATGAACGACCCTGAATAGCTCCAGCAGTCGCACGCAAGTCTTTGGCATCACCCACTTGTAAAGCCATTACACATTTATTTACATCTTCAAGAATGTGATTTTCGGATACTGCCAAAAAGTCATCAATTGTTGTTATATCATCAACTGCTTCGGTTAAAATACGAACTTGCACCTCCCAAGCTTGCCGATATGTAGTCATATTTTCTTGAGCTACTTTTGAATTGGGTCGTACAGTCAAAATGGAGGCTGCATTTATTACCTGTGGGCAAAGACTTTCAATTTGGGCTGCAGCATATCGAACCATTTTAACACCATCTTCATTGCTTGACATGCTACATACTAGATTAGCTACTTCAACTAGTTTTTCAGCGTGCTTAGTGAAAATCTCGGCTTTTTCACGAACTTTTTTTTCGTTGCCGGTTTTGGCAGCTTCAATTAAATCTAGCAATGGAGTTGTAGTCTCCAAAAATGAGTCCGATACATGATCAACTACAGCTTTTCGTAATTGTCTTCGCAGGTCACGAGTTTTGCGACACATTTGATCAATTGCTCTAGTAAGTCCGGGGCCGTTATCTTTTTGACTCATCTGAAAAAAATGGTTTTCAGAAAAATTTAAAATACACGGGAAAACGGGTACGAGCAATAACTGTCAGAGCAATAACGGTCGCTAGCAAGATTTCACTCTTAAAAGTGAAACAAAATTATATCCTTATGCACAATATGGATAAAGCTAAATAAAATTATTTCTTAACAACAAAGCTTTACCATGGATAGGTTTTAAAGGATTAAAAATGATTTACCTCATTGAAAAAAAAATTCTTAAAAATTGGTTTAAAATTTTGTTGTGTTTTTTTTATTTTATTTTGATCTGTGTCTCGTTGTGTTTAAGATTCACACACTGATCCAACAAGCAAAATTGGCATCGGTCCTCATTTTACACTTGTAGTGGTAGGTTCAAGACGTTATTGTATGCACCTGCTTACACAGAAAATTACTTACGTTTGACATGTATTCAGACAGCAAATCTTGTAATGCTTGCCTTACAGCATTGCATTCGGCGACAATTCTCTCTCGTCGTTCGTCTCTAGTACAGTCTGCATCCGCCATTAGTGCAGCTGCACTAATAATACTCTCTAAGCGTTCTTCAAGCAATTGTCTTGAACGCTTTTCGCTATAGGTCATCGGATCCATAACAATTCCTTCCTGCAACCATGAAAAAAACGTTGGGAAAAATTATATAATAAATGAAATCAAGAAAACCCTTGCAGCTATTGCATAAATTGAGTACTCATTAAAATCATGCAGATTTTCACGTCAATTATCCGATTGTTCCTATTTGAATAAAACTAAAATCGCTATTTTGAATTGTTAGACTATTTATTTGTTGAAAAGAATTTAAAAAAAATATTAATTAGAGAAGTTAAAACTTATGTTGTTTAATATTCCGATTGTGCCAATGGGTGCTATATGATATAGACGTCCAAATTTGATAAAATTTAAATCGTAATTACAAATAGTAAACCAGCTCTAAATACCGAAGAAATATAAAATAAATTTAAAAAAAAAACAGCTAAGTTATCATTTTTTTTTTTTTCATTTTTTTTGCCGATATTTCCGATGGTTGCTATAGATACCTGCAATAGGAAGACAACTTTTGGTATAGTTGCGTGCAGATAAATTTAAAACTTGCGTAGAAACCCAGTGATGCTTATCAAGAACATATATATTTTATAAGGTCGGAAATGTCTCCTTACCGCGTTGCAAACTTCTGACTGAAATTATAATGTAACAAGAAAGGAAGCAAACTTCGGCAAACCGAAGTTCATCTACCCTTGCAGCAAGAAATAAATTTGAAAACATTAAAATTAAGATTTACTTGCATATATGTTTAAAAACATTAAAGCTATGAAGATTTGCAGCTCAATTATTAGATAGTTATTTTACATATTTATATTATTTCTAAAGGAGCTATATAATATAGTCGTCCGATTTTGACGAAATTTATACCGTAATTCTGAAATATTTAACCATTACTATATGTCGAAGAACTAATAAAAAAAATTAAAAAACAGCAAAGTTATAATTTTTTTTGTATTTTTTTCCGATTATCCTATGGGAGCTATATGATATAGTCGTCCGATTTTGATGAAATTTAAACCATAATTCTGAAATAGTTAACCATTACTATATGTCAAAAAACTAATAGAAAAATTAAAAAACGCCAAAGTTATAATTTTTTTTATTTTATTTTTTCGATTATTCCAATGGGAGCTATATGCTATAGTCGTCCGATCCGGCTCGTTCCGACTTATATACCACCTGCAATAGAAAGACAACTTTTGGGAAAGTTTCTTACAGATAGCTTTAAAAGTGAGAGACTAGTTTGCGTAGAAACGGACGGACAGACGGACATGGCTAGATCGACTCGCCTAGTAATGCTGATCAAGAATATGTATACTTTATAGGGTCGGAGATGTCTCCTTCACTGCGTTGCAATCTTCTGACTGAAATTATAATCCGCTCTGCAAGGGTATAACAAGAAAATAAGCAAATTTCGACAAGACGAGGTTCATATAGCCTTGCAGCTATTGCAAAAATTAAATATTTTTGAAAACATTACAATTATGATTTACTTGCGTTCATTTTTAAAAACATTGAAGCTATGATGATTTGCAGCTTAATTATTCTATAGTTCCTATGGCAGCTAAATCATATCGTTTTCCGATCTCAATTAAATTAACTGAACTGTCAAATTATTAATTAGCCAAAAATAGGTTTTAGACAAAATTACAAAATAGAAAAGTTACATTTTATAATTTCTTTTAAATTAAGTTTTTTGCCATATGACATAGTCGTCCGATTTTGATTAAAATTTAACCGTAATTCTGAAATATAAATGTCGAAGAACTACAAAAAAAATTAAAAAAAAACAGCAAACTTTGCTTTCATTTTTTCATTTATTTTTCTGATTGTTCCTGTGGGAGCTATATGCTATAGACGTCCGATCCGGCTCGTTTCGACTTATAGACTACCTGAAATAGAAATGCAACTTTTGGGAAAGTTGCATGCAGATAGCTTTAAAACTGAGAGACTAGTTTGCGTAGAAACGGACGGATAGACGGACTTGGCTAGATCGACTCTGCCAGGGATGCTGATCAATAATATATATATACTTTAGGGTCGGAAACGTCTACTTCACTGCGTTGCAAGCTTCTGACTGACATTATAAGGGTATAAAAATTCTTATTTTAATTAAAGTGATATATTATTATTAATATAAGCTAGGCTATTATAGACAATTATTATTTTGTGATGAGAGGGCAGCACTGTGTTTTTTAAAATACTCCACAGTTTAAGCACAGTTTAAATTTTGTTGAAAATTCGCGTCGATGGAACCGAACTTTGCTTGGATCCGATGCTCCGTTCAAAATTGATTCAAATAATACCTTTTTTTCGGTGTGTCGGTTTCGAAAACTTTTAGAGACTTGTGTTAGAATCCTGTAATAATTTAGTTTGTGTAAGACAAGTCTTTACAAAAAAAAAGGTTGTTTCACGACTTTGGAAGATCTAGCTTATTTAGTTCAGAAAACTAGATTTTCCTTGAATTAAGAAAAACATGGCCTAATTTTAGGAATATTGGCCTTAAATTTGTGCTTTTTATTGGGTTTCGTTTTAAGTCATGTTTCCTAAATTTTATATTTAAAGCACAAATTTAAGTAATTTTTCCTAAAATTACGTCATGTTTTCCTTAATTCAAGGAATCTAGTTTTCTGAGTGTAGGACAACTATACGTCAGAAGAGATTTAAATTGTTTGCTGGTAGCCTGGTAGCATAATTGGGCTATTGTCTAAAAAACTGTATGTGTGAAATCAGGGTTTTTTTTAATCAACTTAATTTAGTATAATTTGGGTGACCGAATATTTACAGCGTTATGGAAGAAGACGGGAAGAGGTATATAAGTGAGTAGAAGGGGTGGGTAAGGGGAAAGAAGATCCTGAATCCCTGCGGTACTACCGCGAGGCTTTGCTCCGTAGGGTCGCTTCATAAAGACCGCTTCGAAGCTGCTAATCCGGTTCAAGAACCCTTGGTCCGAAATCAGCTGATCTCCTAAGATCGTTGAGTCCCCAAAGTCCTATAAAATACCTTATCGGTCGTGGTCGAACCGTGGGCAAGTAATATTTACATGCCCAACGGTTTCCTCGACGCCGCAGCTGGGACAGTTGTGGTCGTCATCGTGGCCAAACTTTGTGAGGTAACGTCTGAAGAACCCATGTCTGCTTAGGATCTGGGTCTGCCAGAAATAAATTCTTCTTGACTTTTTTGCGTTCATTTGGCTACTCTGGTATGATCCGAAAGGTCCAGCGTCTTTTCGTCGACTGTTGCCAGCGGGTCTGCAACCCTTCCATGCTTCTTCCACGAGCGTAAGCCTTGGCTGTTCGCCTGTGAGATGAGGTGCACAGTCCTCCCAACATCTAAAGCTCATCGTGGATCTCCTTTGCCTCAACCGCCAGCAAATCTAAAGGGACCGTGCCAATTATGACGTGGGCTGCGTCATCCGATAACGCTCGGAAACCAGAGCACACTCTAAGATACAAAGCCTGTCCGTAGATTTCAGACCCTTCATGTACGGCGTACAGGATTGTAGCCTTGCACACTGTCTGAAGGAGAATTCTGCGTCCCTGCTTTGTTTTTCAGCATTATCCGCGATAGCGCTCTAGCTACGTTGGCCACCTTTTTGTTCGTTTCCGCGAGGTGCTCCCGGAACGACAGCCTTGTATCCAAAAAAAACTCCTAGATATCGTTTCGCTTTCGCCGACTTTAGCGAGATGCCTTCGACTCGAATGGCACGACTCTTTGGTGCGCTATGTCAAGCCCAACCGAAGAGAGCTATTGTAGCCACTGAAGCGTTTCCTATGCCTTCAGCTTCTTGGATGGCTTTTTGACACGATTACTATGGCTATATCATCTGCAAAACCTATGACCTTTGTTTTTCCCGGTAGTGGTAGTCTCAATGCTCCGTCGTACATTGCATTCTACAGCAACGGTTCCAGTACTGACCCTTGAAGTACTCCGCAAGTTACTCTATGTTTGAGCGTTCCTCGGTCTGTGTAGAACAGCAGAAAATGATCGCTGAAGTACGACTGTATGATGCCCACCAATGCATCCGGTACGCCTAAGTGCTGTACTTCTTTGGTGACGTCCCACAGTGCCGAGTTAATGGAATTCTTGATGCTCGAGGTCACGTTTAAAAAGTACTCTTTACTGACTCGCAATTGCATCGACCGTGGATTTTGCTTTCCTTAAGCCAAATTGCATTGGTGAGAGGTCTCCCTCAGCGAATTTGGCTTCCTACAGTCTGTGGTCTATCAAGCATATTGGCCTGCAGGACGACGGACCCTTCGGTGGTTCGTTCGGCTTGCTTAGCAAAAATAACTTCTGGACTTCCATCGCTCAGGAAAAATGCGTTACGTGAGGCACTGGTTGAAGGCGCTGGCGAATGCTTCAGGGAGCTCAATCGGCTCATCTTAACCGCAATTTCTGGGATTGTCTCTCCCCATATGCAAAAGAATTATTGTGTTTTTTGGTGGGAAAAACGTCATAGTCATTCGAAATTTCAGTCAGAAGTTTGCAACGCAGTGAAGGAGACATTTCCGACCCAAAAAAATATATATATCCTTGATCAGCATCACTAGGGGAGTCGATCTAGCCATGTCCGTCTGTCCGTCCGTTTCTACGCAAACTAGTCCCTCAGTTTTGAAACTTTCCCAAAAGATGTCTTTCTATTGCAGTTAGTATATATGTCGGAACGAGCATAAAGCTCCCATAGAAACAATCGGAAAAAAAATTTTAAAATTTTAACTTTGGCGTTTTTTAAGTTTTTTTTTTTAATTCTTCAACATACCTTCTGTCATAAAAGTACCGGGACTGGATTAATTAAAAAGCCTGTGCTGAACCGATTTTTGAATTTTTTTTTTTTATTATGTTGTTAACAATGTTCTGCATTACGAAGTGAAATTTGTAAGCGAACTGTCTAGTACCTTGTTTACAGTCGCTGGTTACGTCAGTCTATGTTCTAGTTGCTTGCCGAATTTCATAATGAAATTCCAAAAGAGCTGAATTTCCTGCAAAGAGAATACCGAAAGCAGGTGTCTGCCGACATGCTGGATCGCGCTAATTCCGACACCACGTTCATGAAACGTATC